GAGAGAAGCCTAGGAAGAAGTAAGCCCAAGAGGTTCGGCAGCCATCTTGGAAAGGGTGTCAGGGGAATCCATTCTGGTTACTCATTTTCCTGGAGGGGAGTGTTTAGAATGAGCAGTTTTGGTGGAAAATGAGGGAAGTTTGCAATTGGCTGAGAGAGAGAGTGGGTGGAGCCTAACTTGGAAAAAGCAAAAAATGGTCTTTAAGGGAAGGTATTAATACCCTGTCAAAGAGATTGGCTCTGGGTGTTGAACAGATAGGTTCTGTTGTTTTAGAGAGTCAGGTAGACTCTGGTTTTAGTGCAGTATTTACGTTAGTGCAGTATTCAGAGGGCTATTAGAGAAAGAATAGCTGGAATACTGAAGTGGGACAGATCCTAGAGAGAGGACTGTCCGTAGTCAAAGAAGCCTAGTCAGTGCAAAGCCTGCTAGATTCATGTGGAGGAAGAGTGAAGTGTTTAAGTGTAACTAAGAAGTGTTTTAAGAATTCTATTGTTTATGTAACCACACGCATTTAAGACAACTGCTTCGCTATGTCGACAACGTGGTTTAAACACTGCTCGCAGCATTCAAAAAAGATTCCTGATTCTTGCAAGCACTCAAAGTTCCTTCTTTCTCTCGGCAAAGCCCACATTACTTCTTCCTGCCATCATTGCCAATCACTGACGGCTCAAGCCAGGAAGAATAGGGCTGCTCCGCCAGGAAGAATAGGGCTGCTCGCCTTAAGTATCTTCTTTATGAACAAACTTTGGCTCCTTCGACTTGGGCGGGGCCTTCGTCCTCTGAGCCCTCAGCAGCAGCGAAGCCACCAGAGAAGCCTCAGTTGACGACTTCAGGAGCATCAAAAGCCTCAAGGCAGGCGAGGCAATTGAAGCAGTTGTGCAGTCTGATGATGGAGACGGTGCAGCCTCAACAGTCTTCAACCTCGAGTTAGGTAGCGTTGGCTCGCTCCAATCGGTCCACAAGGTCGACTGTGGCTATGCCACCATCTTCTACATTGATGCGGATTGCCTTTAAAAGGGCGCATGAGGAATCTCGGCAAGCAAAATGGCGTCTACCTCACCTCCTGTTCCTCCGATTCTGAGAAAGTCCCTCTCAGTACCGACTGCAGCCCAACCACTGGCGAAGAAAAAGGCTCTTCCCTGGACGTCTTCTTCAACTTCTTCAAAGAAAACTACGACAGCTTCCTCTGCCATCTCGTCTGGCCGTTCTTCTCCTGTCCTTCAGGCTCAACCATTACGGCTGTTGCAACCTTCCCCAGTAGAGGACCCTTCCGATGGTGTTCTTCGGGAGCTTCCGGAGTCTCCAGTGCACTCGGTCGATACCGTAGTGCAGGTCGCCCAACAGCCTCCACCTGCTCAGTCTTGGGTTCGACAAGAGCTTTTTCCACCTACTTTGACGCCGGTAAAAGGAAGGCAGACTGCCCGATTGGCTCGGGCAGCCCAGGCCTCAGCGTCAAAACAGCCGCTGCCACCATCTTCTAGTTGTCCGCCTCCGTAAGTGCCGTCCTCCTCTTCACCTCTTCAATCTGAGGATGAAGATCAAGACAAAGATGTTCCAAAGTCAGTTCACTCCGGTTTGGTCGTATTTCTTGGACTCAACCGTTCCCCGCCCCACAATGCCTACGAGTTCGACCCTCCCTCACTGACTGATGTCAGGGCGTTTGCAGACCAGATGGTTCGCATGGCGGATACCCTGGGAGTTGAAGTCAAACAGGCCTTGAAGGCGGTTACCGATCCGGTGTTCAAGAGGGTCCAGTCAAAAGCTCTGCCTGCCCCTATCCTGCCTTTTCTCCCTTATTTGCTCGACGTGATTCAGGCGTCTTGACACTGTCATTGATACCCCCGATCTCTAAAAGAATTGAGGCTTGGAATTGTACGGATGAGGAGGACCTGGAATAGGTGAAACAGCATCCTGATCCTAATTCTGTCGTCATTAAGGTAGCTCAGACTTACTCCTCCCCTCAAGACGTTGCAAACTCTGCCTGTCATCCCGCCGTTTGGAGACCGCCTGGTGCACTTAATCAATGCGTGGTGACTTATCACCTCAGATGCATGGGTGCTCAAGGTTGTCAAAGACAGCTATGCATTAGAATTCAAAGAACTCCCACCGACGGGATTCCTCGTCAGTACCAAGCCTTCCCCACCTATCTTAAAAGGGGTCGATGCCTTGCTTTTAAAGGGGGCAATTCATCCTTCCCCGTCACGCTTGGACAGGCAAGCATTATTCTCCAGATACATTACCGTGCCGAAGCCAATGCATCCCTCCAGCCTATCCTTAACCTCCAGTCCCTGAATTCCTACACCAAGTCCCAAAAGTTCAGAATGGTGACGCTGTTGTCCATCCTTCCTCTCCTTCGCCCTGGAGACTACTTTGCATCCGTCAACCTTCGAGATGCTTACTCCTGTCTCTTGCCAACAAGAATCTCTCCTTGTCATTGCTGAAGTCTTATCTTGCAGCAGTCTCATGGCACATTCAGCAGCTGGGTGGCGAGTCTTTGTTTCACAACCACCTGGTGAAGACCTTTTGGAAGGGATATACCAACCTCCATCCGCCAGTCCATCCACCGACACCAAGATGGAACCTCAATCTTGTCCTGTCTTGGTTAGCTGCTTCTTCCTTCGAGCCCTTGGCGACGATCGACCTTCGACTTCTCTCTTGGAAGGTTGCCTTCCTTGTTGCAATCACCTTGGCTCATTGGCCTTCCGAGCTTGCGGCTCTGCGGGTTGATGAACCTAACCTGCTGTTTCATTCCGACCGAGCGGTCTCTGAATGGACATTACCTTCTTGCCGAGGGTTGTCTCTTCCTTCCATGTCAATGAGGACATTGCCCTTCCAGCATTCTTCCAGAACCTTTCCACCCCATCGGAGAAAAGACTTCATCTTCTCAACGTCCATCGGGCTTTGCTCTTTTATTGGGACAGAACCTCCCAGTCTCGAAAGACTTCGAGGCTGTTTGTGGCCTATGCTCCGGATAAAGTAGGACTCCCCATCTCCTCCCAGCGCCTTTCCAACTGGATTGCCTTGGCGATCGAACTTTGCTACAAACTCGCTCACCGTCTGCCACCTCCATCGGTCCGTGCTCGGTCGATGAGAGCCATGGCAGCCTCTACTGCCTTTCTTAATGGTATACCGTTGGACTCTATCTGCAAGCAGCTATCTGGTCTAATCTATTGATCTTTGTTTCACATTATAGGTTGGACACTAGAACTAGGAAAGATACAGCCTTTGGCAGGTCTGTTCTCTCCTCCTGCCCCCTTTGATCTCCTTAAATTGTACTCATGTCAATGTATGGTTGCCTAATACGTTATCGCCTACACTGAAAGTTTGTTCACTCTCATAACATGCTGATAGCTGATATTTTTCTCTGTGAGAATGTTTATCGAGTTTAATACAAAAAGTCTCGGTTGTACCTCATCCTGGGTCTACTTTTAGCCCACAGGTGTCATTCTGCTTGTTTTGTGCAACATTTTTCATGTGTACCCAATGTCCTTGTTGATGACATTGTGATTAGTATTCCTTCTGCTTTGTCCGTTGTTCCTGGCCCAGCTGTTTTGTTGCTGGCCTTCATCGTGACATATGTACTATCATGGTTATACTAGAAAATTTTGGCCCTCTTGGGCTTGTGTTTTATACTTATTCAGCTAGTGAGCTGTATATTTTTCTTATTGCCTTATAATAAATCATGTTTTGGTCCTTATGAAGGTGTTGGTTTGCTTTTCCTGCTTCTGGGACCTTAGCTTGCTAGTCTCCACATGTGTGCATTAACAGAGCATGAAGAAAAATGGTGGGTTACTCACCTGTAACCATGTTTCTTCGAGTGGTACTCTGTGAATTCACATAGCCTCCACTCTATTCAAACCTCCTCCTTTCTCACTGCCTTTGCGGCATAGGAACTGCGGAGCATGCGCGTGAGGCACCTTTTATGCCCTGCAAGGGGACTGGGCAGGGTTACCGCCAAAACTTGCAGTTTTAAACTTGGGAAGTTTTCCATTGGGGCCTGCACAGGCGCAGACACTCCACCATGTGTGAATTCACAGAGTACCACTCGAAGAAACATGGTTACAGGTGAGTAACCCACCATTCATCAGTCTCTCATTTTTTCACAAGGAAAAAGGTCCCCAGACATACTTTTGGGAATACCTCAGTAATGATAGTGAACTACTATAATTTATGTATTATTTATTTATTTATCCATTTCTACCCCGCCTTTCTCGATCCTGGAGGAGACTCAAGGCGGCTAACAAATCCGGCAAAAATGTAATGCCACATGGATAAACAATTAAACACATCTTGTCAAGATATAAAACAGTCTAAACTATAAGCCATTAAAATACATATCAATCAATCAAACAGATTAAAACCATCTAAAATGCCGAGTCGTGATCTCATATCCATAACCGTCTTCCAAAGTTCATGCTGAGTTGTCTTTGTATTGTATAGTTCCTAATGTTTGGAACATGTTCTCAAACAGTATTGTCATGTAGTAATGCAGATTCTATGTTTTCTGAACACTATTTGGGGTGGGGGGTGGGGAATATTGAGAAAGAGTTTGACAATTCTAAAGCAGAATGTTCAAAGTGTGGCTCTCCAGAAGATGCTGGGTTTCAATTCCCAGGTTTCCTCACATTAGCTATGCTTGCTAGGTCTTACAAAAATTGGTCCAACAATATCTGGACAGCTTCATTATGTGTACTCCTATTCTAGTGATACAGAAGAATGCTGGCCCAAAGATAATTGTTAGTCCCAAGTATCATAGACCCCTTGAACCCATGGACATTTCATAAATTTTGACATACCAAATTCTCATTGTTCCAGAGGGTCATCTAAATTAACAGTTGCATTTAATCCATTGTATAATTCCAAACATTAGCTACACCTTAATGTTAAATCTCTTTTCCAGCAAATTTTTCTGTGAGGATTGGGACAACCAAGGAAGATGCAACAACCAAAATGGCTTTCTTGTCCTCAAAGCCAATTAAATATTTTCTTCCATTTTATAGACCGAAGATGATGAGAAGCTAAAAAAGAGAAAGGAGAGGTTCGGCATTGTAACAAGTTCAGCTGGAACTGGAACCACAGAAGACACAGAGGTAAATCTGTCAAAACAAAGTTTGTTCAGTGGCATGAGTGGGAGTTGAGAATTGCTTTCTGTGATTAATTGGCATGTCAAACACTCCACAAGATGGCACTGTGTATGCTTTATCTTTTCCTGGGCCCCCATTTCCATGATCCCATTAAATCAGCATTGCCAATCCAACGCCTTCCACATATTTTGAACTACAATTCCCATTATCCCCAGCCAGTATAGCCAGTAATCAAAGTGTGGAAGCACTAGTACAAAACATTTAGAGAATAAGGTTGGAAGAAGCTGGACTGAATTGCCTTGGATGATTATATTGTGCTTCAGATAGCTCTTCAATAGATTGTGTCAGAAATGCTCTCCCTTTTTTTTCTTTAATGTTACTATATCAGGTCATTCCAATGTATGTTTAAATTGTATTTTTCAAAGAATAATTTTTAAGTTATAGTGGATACTTTAGATTTCTCCATCACTGTCTTGCTAAGCCCATAAAGCTTTGCTTTAACCTTGTGACACTTATCTGTGATTTGTCTGACATCACCTAGTCAGCTACACAACTGAGCTGGACTTTGAATGTGGGTCAACAGATCTATATCCAGGTTTCTATCCCACTGCACAGTTTGTGTGATGATTTTTAAATCTGGGTTGTGTGTGAAACAAATAACAGCCTTGATATATGGAATATTGTCTTTTCCAGTACTGCTAAAAATTGTCTACTAATATCAATGAGAAAGATGAAAGAAAGAACACATACATGACTTTGAATGGCTGTGGTTTGAATGTTTAAAATTTGTACTACCTTTAAGATTTAATGTTTGCATTTTTGTATATTTTAAACTGTATACTAATGCTTTTATGTCAAACCGCTTTGAGTCCCATTTGGGGAGATAAAGTGGGGGTATAAATAAATATTATAATAACAATAATAATAATATAACAATAATAATAATATCCGTTTTACTTTTTTCTATGATGCACATTTCATTTAGACACTACACATTTTGAATAAGTTTTCAATTGGACTTCATTTCATTTTCTGTACTGTGTTTTCCTGAGCATTTTCAAGGTTTTATCATGATTTTTTATTGCTTTTTTCATGTCTCAGTAAATTTGTGGCAAAAATCTATCTTCTTATTGTGGGGCTTCTGAATTTCTTCTTCTCATTTTTTTCTGCCTTAATTTTAATGAGATCCTTCTACTCGAGTATGGCAGTTCTTTTGTTTCTGTAAATCTGTATTCATGCTTATTGTGATTGGTATTAAGCCATAGTCTTCTGTGCAAGAGGTCTTCTTGCTGTGGGCTCATTTTGTGTGTGGAAGAGAGGCAATATTTGGGACTCTGAACTCTCCTTGGATGAATCCTGAGTATTATATACAGGAAGTTTATTTTCTTTGGCATCTTATATAGGGTTCAGATATGGTTTGGTGCCTTTTGTCTTTGCCAGATGCTGTGCAAGCATTGCTTCACAAAATAAAGTAGAATGATCCCCCTGTTCAGTTTGAGTGAAGGGGGTGGTTGAGCTCTGGTCTGAGGGATTCCATGCTTTTCCGTTAGGTCACTTAGAGAGTGTGCCCGAAACAAAAAGGTCTTTTTCTAGTATTGTGCATGCTAAACGGCACCTTTACCCTCGAGATTCTTGATTAGGACTTCTGCTACCCTCTAGGCTATTTGTGCAAGTAAAAATTAAGATTTATATGCCCCTGGTGTATTGACTTAGAGGCATATCTCAGAGACGCATGAGTATATTTAATTCATTTGACTGTGTCCCTCTCGCCTTTCTCATGAATAGAAGAGTGTTAACCCTTTGGCCTTTTACATTTCCCACCTCCCCATTGCTGGAAGGCTTTCCAGGCCTGTAAAGTGGTTATTGTTCCAAGCGTAGCGCTCTCTCGTAACCCAACAAGATGAAGCAACCAATGGGACACTGCATCTCATGCATTTATAGCTTAATTTCTAAGCCTGGTTAGGAGCCCTCTTAAAATTGTTATGCCCTGTGTGAAACCTGGTATGAAAAATACTTGCTTAATCAAACTCTTGTGACACTCTCCATACACTTTCTACCTTACTTCATGCAAAGAAAACATGCACATTCTCCTTGATTATTGACTTTTGTCTTTCTTTTAATTCATGTTTCCAGGCAAAGAAGAGAAAAAGAGCAGAACGTTTTGGCATCGTCTGAGGATCTTCCTCTTAGACTTTACCTGCTTGGGTTGTATGTTTTACACATTCTTGTTCTTTGTTCCTAATGAAGAATATATTTTCTTCCTCACACAGATTTTGGCTTTACATTTTAAAGCTAGCTCTTCAATTGTGCTTTCCTTCGCTTTTGGACTTCAAACAGATTGTGAAGCCTAGAATGAAAGTTTCTATTGTGTATGTAAACAATTTGAATTTCCCAGCAAATTCTCTTATTAGCCACTTATTACATCACCAGTGTGATTCCCCTCTGTTTTGAGTTAAAACAGCTGCTCAAAATAAAAAGAGTAGGAATATGATTATTTCTGATACGTTGTTCAGTGCCTATTAAAGTTACATCTACATCAAGAACTGTCTGAATGCTCCTTAGGCATTTATTACTCCTAATATTTCATTTTCATGCTGCCATGCCTCGGAAATATTTCTCCATCCCTGATCAAAATTCATCTATCTTATACAGAAAGCCTGAAGTCCTTCTTTCCTTGGCTTCTGCTACATGTGTTAGGTTTCTTATGACGTCATGAGGCATACACCTATCGTGAAAGGGTACTGCAAAATATATTAATGTTTTTTAGAATTTGTGAAACAGTTAAACATTCAAAGAACACTGTTGAGTTACAGTATGGTATTTATTCCCTTAGCAATAGTGTGGAATATCCCAAGGTTTTAAAAGCGCAACAGTCATGCATTTGGCAACCATTGACAAAGAGCCTCTTAAATACCCTATTGGTAATAATAATTTGAAACTTTCCCTTTGGTTTTTACATTATATTTTCAAAAATGCAGATAATTCCCCCTTACAGAGTAGTATCAAAAAGTTCTATATGATTGCTGTGAGATTTAATACTATAACATATATTATTCCTGCTCAAAGGCTTTAGTTTCTAGCTGAATTATCAAACTGTGCTGTTCTTTTTCTCCCTGAATGAACTAAATTTTGGAGAGCCCTCCTGCTTCTATTTGCAGTATTATGATTTACTAAAGGTAACAAGTTGGAGAACCAAGTTTTAAAAATAACTTATTCATGTTTTCCAAAGAAATGAATTGTGTTAATAGCCCATTGAGAAGATACATTCGCTCAAGCAATCCCATCTTTATTTAAAGTGATGCCCAGCTCTATTGCTTCATATGGCCCAAAGTACATTTCCCTGTTGCTACAGATCTCATTCATCTTTTACATAGAGAAAAATCATCAAGACTGTTTTCTGTATTCTATATGGGTATGCTTTCTTGTTGGTCATATATTTTATATGCTGTTCTTGGTAGGCATTTAAATGCTAGTCCACTTGAACTGCTTTGGATTTTTGATTTTTTAACATAATCCTTAAATGAAAGATCAGTGACTATCTTTCATTGTAGTCTACATGCAGTACCTTTCTTTTCTGTGCAGTACAGATTAAACAGTGCTTAGAAAAATCATTAGCGGCCTCTTAATTTTATCAAATATTCTTTAAAAACTGTGGTATTAGTTAATCTGTGATTTTACTTCTGATTCTTTATGCCATCTCTGAACGGCATTTACTACTTGATAGGATAGGTGCAAGGGTGATGCATCATTTCAGCACTGTGGTGTCTTATTATGTATATTTCAATTTTATTCTGATTTTATTTGACATGTTAAATTTGATAATTTGATTTTCTGTTCATCAACTTGGTCAGTTTGGGTACTTGCTTGAAATGTTTTTACAGGTTGTATTTTAAGCAGAATTACACTTCATTCTTTGGTTCATAATAAAACTACTTCAAGGCACTGCCTATAGTTTCCTTTTTAATACAACATGACAGGGTTATCATTTTGTGTTTACATTTATTGACATGTGAATTTACAGGAGGTTTTAGAGCTGCTGAAGATGTAATGATGACCATGTCTGGCTTGTTTTCAGTGAAGAATGAGAAAAAAATCTGATACTTAATTCTGACAATTCACATTAAATACCACAGTGTCAGATGAGGATAGGTTCTGTCAAGCATTCCAGTTGTTGAAGTTTATCCATCTGCATCAAATTAGAAGGGAAAAGAAAGGAGAAAAGGATACAGCAGTACTACTCTTGTACAAACAGTACAGTAGCCGTAGACTTCATTTCTTCCCTGTATATCATATTCCTAACAAATGTATCCATATGTTAGGGGTGTGTGTGTGTATACCTTGTAATTTTCTTAAATTCTTCAAATGAATGAGCCACTTCCCAATTTGTTGCAGAAATGCTACTGAATTCCTGCATTTATTTCCATGTTAAAACATATTAACGTGGCTTTCTCTTTGAAAATACATATGTATTGTTGGTGTTTTAAATGCCACAAGATGTGTTAGTTTTGCTGTTGGTTTTGCCGAGGGGTGTGTGTGTGCTATTTTGTTTGTTCATTTGTTTGTTGCTGCAACATGGCTACTTCTTTGGAAACTGTTGTTGGGTCTCGTCTAACAGATTATAAAAAGGAATCAGATAAAACTGTAATTACATAAATAGGTGTGGACCAACCACCTGAGAGAACAGCTTCTATTAGTGAAATAGGGAGCATAGTGGTTCTCCTTGTCACTGTAATACACGCAAGTTCCCTAAGAATTAACTCCAGGTGGCTGGGGAGTCCTGTGAAGTAGGCTTTCTCAAGTAATTGTGGGGGAGACATCTCCATCAACTCACATAGGGCAGTCGGTTTACTGTACGTGTCCAATCAATGTAATGGTAATTGGAATTGATGTTCTCCTCACTGAAAAATAGGAGGGGATTTATGTTTTATATCCTCCTTTGTGTTCTCAGCTTTTTGGATACAGAGTAATCACATAATTTGTTCAAATAGTTTCTTCCTGTTTCTCCTGTTTCTATATTTAACTAGTATGTTGTGGTTTCTAATCATGTTGTTTGCCACTTTGAGTCAGTTTGTCCTAAAAAGTGGTTTATAATTTTTGAAAAACAAAATAGTTATGTGTATTAAAATTGTTAGTCCAGTAGTGGGTTAGTAGTCTCTCTAACTATTCATTAACCATTGTAATAAATAAGCGTGAAAGGGCAATTAAGATGCCTAATAATATAGTTGATTATTAAGAATAATAACCTATATTTGAATATATGCTTCCATAAGTTTTATTCAAGGACATGCACAAGATGTGAGGCAATGGCTTAGCTTTCTAACACTTTATTACCATAGGGTCCATGGCAGTGTTTGTACTTCAAAGTACAGGCAGTCCCTGAGTTACAAAACATTCAACTTACAAATGACTCATAGTTAAGAACAGGGGCAATACAACCGGAAATGAGAGAAAGCTACCCCTAGGAAGGGAAATTCACTACTGAAAGAGTTATGATGGAGAAAAGGTGTCTCCACTGAAGCTTTAGCACCAATCCTTGTTTCCACAACAATCCATTTTTTTCAAAATTCAATGATCACAGCGAAGGAAATGAGATGAAACCCTCTGAACAGGAGCACAGACAACAAAACAAACACCACAAGGGTGTTCATCCTTTCCTGTGCTATCCAAAGCCAAAAATGTATGTTTTTTTGGTTGGAGTTACACTATGCAAATGTGCCTGTTCTCACTTACATATAAATTCAACTTAAAAGCAAACCTATAGAACCTATATTGCTCATAACTTTGGGACTGCCTGTATTCTAGGTGTTAATGAGCAGACTTCAGTCTTTGAAGAAAACATGATATTTTGCATTCATTTTTGTTTATCTCCTTGTATTTAACAAGGATTTTATCAACATATTTGCAATTTATTGTAAAGAGAGGTTAGAAGATATACAGCCTGTTTTGGAATAGGAAGGAATCATGAAATAAAAATTTATTTTCCTTCAGATTTAGCATTTTTGTAACTAGAATTCAAAACCTCTGCAGCCTGCCAGAAGAATACTGATTATTAGCAATAACCATGTGACCTGTTTATGGACCATAGTGCCTCTGTAACTACCTATTCTTCCCAATGTTTATTTAAAATTTGCATAGTACTGATTAATTCCACAGAATCCACTGCTGTTTGTAAGTCACTGAGGGCAAGAGGAGGCCGCCCCATTGACATTTTTGTTATTCATCATAAAAGCAAGATACTGTCTATTCCTTTTCTTGTATCTGAGTTAAATACCATATTGAGGCCAAAATTTGTGGTTAACCCCTTAGTATTCTTTTTATGGAGTCAATATTAGGAATGTTTTAAATAATAGTAGCATAAACAGAACAGAAATAGGGCTGTTCAGGGTAAGCAAGTTCTGGAAAGTAAAGGTATATGAAAATTAGTAGGAAAATTATTTTTGACATTGGATGACATCTTTAATCATAGGTGAGTCTGCATTGTATACATGACATAATTCTGTGATTAAAAGAAAAAATATTTTTGCATATGTTGTTCATCTGTCATCTATTGCAGTTGTTCTTCTCTCTGCTCAGAGGTTAATATATTAAGGAATTACGATCTCTGCCACTTTCCCTCACCTAACTGTTTTGTGTGCATGTATTGCATATATATCAAGATGTACTTTCTGTGGCATTATCTTTCCTGCCTTATACCCCACTCCTGTGTTGAGTGGGGTAAAGGATTTTCTTGTAGAGTACACTATCTTTTAAAGGGTGTGCATTAACCCTTCTTCAGGAAAGGGTGGGGGGAATCATTCTAATCAAACTGTGGTTAAAACACTACCTAATTTATTTTTCCTCTCTAAGCTGGGGGCCATTCGTGACTAATTTGAGCTGAATAGGCAGATAGAAAAAGCAGCAGGCATACAATGAGCGGCAGAAAGTGTGGGAAAACCGGGGGAAGAAAGGGATGGCCGAGCTTTGCAGCATGAGAGCTAGGGAAGACCGTGTAGCACCAAATTCAGCATGAAGTCACTTTTCAAGTGTAGACGCTGGGGCTCTAAATGCAAGTTGGGAGTATAGGTCAGGCCAGGGGAAGATGGGAGTTTGTGTTAGGCTTGTAGAATGCAAGGAATAAAAGAAATGGGAAAAGAGTGTGTGTATGTGTGTGCCTGCAGGCGTGTGTGCACCCCTTCACAAAGAAATACAAACACATGTTCTTCCCAATGGCAATGTCTTCTTCTCCCCAGTGGCCTCTTGCCCCTGATCCCTCTGTGGGTGGGTTTGGAGATCTCCCTTGTGTTTAGATTCAGGAAAATAAGAAAACAAAAGAGGAGAAGGAGCCTGGAAGTGTGTGCCAATGAAGATTTAATACAGAAAATCTGTTCTTCTCCCTTCCCCCAGCCCTCCCTGATATTTTAAATATTTATAGAAAGTAAGAGAAAAGTTATTTCTAGAAGCAAGCAAATTGGGTGACCTCTCTTCCAAAGTTCTGAACACCTGAAATGCACATAAATTCCTTCTGTACCCAGGGAGGGGCAAAAGGGAAGTTGTCAGTTTGCTGTCAGGTGAGAAATAAACTTTTTAGTGTTCTGGGATATCACTTCATTTAAATCCCTGCATTCACCAAAGTTGCCATTCCAGCAAGAACAAGAGCAAGAATTATTGCTTGAACCAGTGGTTCTCAACCTGTGGGTCCCCAGGTATTTTGACCTACAACTACCAGAAATCCCAGCCAGTTTACCAGCTGTTAGGATTTCTGGGAGTTACCCACAAGTTGAGAACCATTGGCTTAAATGAAGAATGGGCAATTTTGGTGAATGCAAGGATTATAATTCTACTCTAGGATCCGCTTAAGGTAAAAAAAAAATACTTCGGGAGAAGTGATCAGAAGTCTACTTTTTGTTATAAAAACATGGTGGAACTGTTTAATTGTTAAAGAGTTCCGCCCATTTAAAAATGAATCACTGCTCATGGAGTCTTTTAAAAAACCTTCTTGGCCAGGAGAAGGGGTGGTTTAGGGGAGTCTGCTGGTCTAGTAACAAGCAAAAACAACTTTGTGGGACTAGATATTGCAAAGGGCTAGATGTTGATCACCCATACCTAAAGAATCTAGATATTTCTAGATATGGGACATATTGGGAATAGGCACTACTCCTGTTACCAGCAAAGTTTCTGTATGGTTTGTGTCATTTATCTACTTATAGCAACCCTGTGAATTTCATATGAATTTCTTAGACAAGGAATGCTCAGAGGTGGTTTTGCCATTTCCTTCCTCTGAAATACAGCCTAAACCACCTGGTAATCATTGGCAGTATCCCATTCAAATACTAACCAGTACTGACCCTTAGCTTCCATGATTAGATGGGATGTTATACCTTTAGAGTATGTCTATTAAATTTTGCATTCACACTTGAAACAAGATTTGGATCGCAGCTGATGAACAGACTGATCTCTGACTGAAAACCTGGAGAGTTATATCCAGTCTGAGTAGCCACATGACATTCTAAATCCATATATTATAAACATGATTACAAATCCGGGAAAATACACTAGTTCTCTAGCATCAGCATCACATTGGTTTTATGCCTTTACAGATAAGGATGCAAAAAATTAAAGTTTCTTTCTGTTCATTTGGAAATTGAAAATCCTAGAATCCCACATTTTAATATATCTTTGATTCTACACCATCAAGTACATGAAATAGACCCAAATCTTCACCTGTTTCTAATTACTTGTAATGATTTGATGTAATTATTACTAGATACTGCTAGGTAGTTTGTAGATACTCTTGCTAGCTACATAGGGAGATCAACCAGAAAGATTAGTTCACATGTTCTGTCTGAATGGGAACTCTCTTGTTCACTAAATATTCAGGGCACATTTTGTCTTCTTAAGCTCCAGAATTTTAGTTGGGTCCCTTTACTGCTGTCATCAGTAATGGATTGGATGAGGGCAAAAAA